GGGGGGAGGGAGCAGCGTCCCCCTCCACGTGTCCGCGAGGCGCAGGGGCGCCGCGTGGGGCCCGGCCCCAGCAGGCCGGGGTTGGGGGCCCTCCCCCATCTCTGAGCTCAGGGAGCGGCGCGGGGCAGGGCCCGGGACTTTCTCCGCCTGCTAGCGCCTCTCAGGCAGCGATAGGAGCGAGTGGCCTCCTGCGCCTCAGTGGGCCTGTTGTAACCAAGGCGACGAGTAGGCCTGTAGCACCGTAGCGACCGACTGACATTCCTATAACGCCGGTGTCTACATTGGCGCGACCTTGCGCAAAAACACTGACGTCCTAATGTGTGAAATCAGGCCTTCCTGCGCCAGAACTATGATGCTCAGGAATAAGCCCTCTTGCCCAACTGCTCTTGCACCAGGGGCCAGTGGAGACAGGCAACATGAATTTCTTGCACCAGAAAGCCCGATGGTTAAAATGGCCATCCGAGCTTTCTTGCGCAAGAGAGCGTCTACCCTGGCGCGGATGCTCTTGCGCCAATGCACATGCCAGTGTCGACGCTCTCTTCTGGAAGAGTTTTTGCACAAGAATTCTTCCGCAAAAGAGTTCTTGTGCAAGATCACGCCAGTGTTGCCGTAGTCAATAGTGTATCCTGAGCGTTCGGGGGCAAAACCCACTTCCTCAGATGAGCAGAGTTGGTTTGCCCACAAATGTTCATGATTCTCTGTCAGTCTCTGAAGTGCTACAGCACTACCCGTTTTTAAAGTTACAAACTCACATGGCTACCCCTCTGAGACTTGTAACTATGACAGTCTCCTGGGATAGGGTAGTTTTGCTAACTGCGCTTGCAAACCTAGAATTTGTGGGATGTGCCATTGGAACCATAGCACCACTTTGATCGGATGCAGAGGGAGCGCAGTCAATGTTGTGTGCAAAGAGCACACACTTCACTCCTCTTACCCTTGCTTTGTGTGTGTGTGTCACCTGAGTTATTCGGGTGGGGGAAAAAGCTATGTGGCCAGAAATCAGCAGAATCTGGCAACCCACGTGTGCAACGGTAAAAAAAATGTCCTTTGGGCAATGAATAGAACCCCAATGGGCTGCATGCGGCTCTTGAGCTGCAGGTTGCCCACCACTGCTCTGGTGTGTCTCCCCTGGCTGACCCCATTCAGGCACCTCTAAGTGGGTCTCTTTCCTTGTTGACTTTAGGAGATGGACATTTAACCTTGTAGTGAAGGAAAGGGACACAAGACACGTATAATGAAGTTCTTGCATCTGGTGTCCTGCCACCTCCCTGGAGGACTGTTCTCCCTGAAATCCTACTATCCTGTGGTGCATCACACTCGAATGTTGTGGGAAACTCCAAAGAGCAGTTCAAGGTATCCTAAAAATATATCAAGTCTGCTCAGATTGCTAAGCCAGAGACTGCAGTTCATGAGGCTGAGACCTTTCAGCTCATCACAGGTTCTCTATAAGTTACATAACAGAGACTTAAAACAGACTGACCCTGTCAGCTGTCCTGAAGCTACTGGGAAACATGAAGAAGAATCAGAACACGGTGATGCAGATGTAGGCTTTGGAACACTATCTAATAAATTTTCTTCTAGAAAGTATTTTCACAAAACAACATCACAGTTGCAGAACTCTTGATTTCAAGCAGAAGAAGAAGAAGAAGAGGAAAAAGAGCTAGAATGGAAACCTAGACGTGGTCCTAAGAATACACCATACTGGTACTTCCTGCAGTGCAAGGCACTGATAAAGCAAAACAAGGTTGGTTTAGTTCTTCTCGTCACTGTAGTAGTTAACAGTGATTGATGGTATGGTCTATTAGACTGGTTGTGGGACTGGGAGGCAAAAATTCAGAAGTAGAATTAAAGTCCAAGACAGTTATATGCCTCAGTTTCCCAGGAATTATATCTATCTACCTAAATCATAGGGGTGTTGAGATGATTAATTCATTAAAGAGTTCATTCAAAAAACCTGAAGAGCTCTGTATAAGCTTGGAAGCTTGTCTCTTTCACCAGCAGAAGTTGGTCCAATGAAATGTATTACCTCACCCACTTTGTTTCTATAAAAAGACTCATTTGTGATACCATCTGGAGAAATACACTACTGGTAAAATGCAAAATATACTGATAACACAAAGTGCAACAGTGCAATTCTGGGTCATGCCTTTTCTGTGTGCTTGTTTCCATAAACTCGAGTGCAACATAAATGTATCTTTTGATAAGGAATACCCCTGAGCTCAGGTACTAATTCCCTGATCACTGACTCATTACCTCACCTGTTGTAATTCTTCAGTTCCAAGCCCTGTACTTCTCTGACCTATCCTTACTGTGCAAAAAAAAAAAAAAGGCAATTTGCTCACATGGCATCAAGTCCTTTCTTGCAGGTGAGAAATGAGGCAAACAAATGCCAGTTCATGCCATGTTTAGAATATTAATTTATTTCCTGGTCTTTTTTGTTAGCATAAACAATGCACAGCCGTACTTGGATTATATGCTTTTTGGAGGTAGGGAACTGTCTCTTCTGTATTTGTACAGCACCTAGCACAATGAAGTTGTAGTCCACGACTGCGGCTTCTAGGCACCACAGTAATATGAATAATAAGTAATGAAAATTGCTCTTAGCCTATGAATGGGAAGGAGAGAGCCTCTGACTAGTAAACCCCCTGGAGGGGAATTATGATTTCATTCCTGTGGCTTCATAAGGAATGAAGGGATACTGGTCTCCATCCCAAGGTGAAATATAAACATGCACCCTTTACCCCATCAAAGTGTGTTCTCCATATATGTATCTGTTTTATTATACGTCAGTTAAGGAACTGCTTCTCTTACCTCCTCACCCTTATCTCTTCTGTATGTAGCTGGCAGAGGCTCTGG